ATGCAGTGGGCAGCGATGGTGAACTCCAATCTAGGGACAACGTGTTCCAAAACTGGCTGTCCGGTTGGCATCCTAGAATAAATGTCCCATCTTTCACTGTATTTTTGAATGCGATTTGGTAGAAGTGATTTGGACACTGACGTGATTCTAAAAAGCCCTGTTGATATGTGCCGCTGAAGCTTTTGTTGAAGCAAGTCTGTTGTGTCTTCATTCACACTCTCTATCAATGGTTTCCCCTTTATAGCTTTTTCAGTTTAACTTACATTGGTCTACAATGTGTGTTTCGACTTCGGCAAAAGTAGTTAATTCAGTTGTATGTGAGGTTAAATGTAACACATCAAATCATTTACAGATAGAATTACCTTGCACATCACACTGAACATTGTGTGACAGAAAATCTATAGATGCCAGTGATCACATGACCCATTTCTAGCCAATGCTGTTTCCTGTGACACCTCGGCCCTCTCTCTGACATGGCTTCTAACAATTGGCTGTGCCTTGTTCCAAGGTGGGCAGTTCTTTCTAAATATCATTGCAATAAACTTCGGTATTTCCTTATTAAAAAATTAATCAAGGGGGAGACATCAAAGAAATGGCAGCAGTGAGGTGGGATCCCTGAGTTCTCCCCTTGAACTTACCACAAATTGAACAGCTATAACTCATCAGAGGAACCTCTGCTCATCACACAGAACAGCTAAGAGACTCGCACGAGGATTTCCTGAAGGTGGGCAAATCGGGCGAGTGGGGGAAGAAAGAAGGCAGACGTGGGGAGATGCAGCCCACATCCGCGGCTGCAGAGACGCGGGGTGCCAGGAAGCCGACTGGAGATTATTACAGCAGCAAGGCGACAGGTTCCCTCCCTACACACCAGAGTCCTGCCTAGAGTTCAGCATAGAGCATGGTGGTGCCCAGCGTCTGAGGCAGAAGCCTCAGCTCAAAACTGCTGCTGGGCTCTCAGACAGAAAGCAAAAACCACTCTATATCCAGGACCCCACTTCCACCCTCCCTCAGCAACCCCACCCCTGCCCTTCCAGAGTTTAAACTGGTCCCTGAATGGAGGAGGAGCGTCAGATTACAGAGGTGCATCAGCCCCCAGGAAATGGAAATAGCCAGCTTGCAGCTGTGATCTAGGGGAGAGGCTGCAAGGACTGTGTGACTGCCTACCCAGCCCCCACCTTTCCTGCGAGGCTCTGGGCAGGGCACCTTCAGCTGCTGAGTCACACACAGGACCAAGCAGCAGGTGGCAGAGGCCGCACTGGACTTTCATCAGCTTGGAAATCTCATGCCCTTCACTGCCTCCAATGGAAACAGTGCCCTAAGACCCATGGGAGAAGCCTACTTCCTGTCTGCAGGCAAGAGCAGAGACAGCGCTGACTTT